GAGTGATTAGAATGGGGCAGAATAGCTATGTTCATCAATTTTGTTTCCTTTCTGAAGTTTCGGTGACCGGTGTGGGAGTTAAGATGTGACCTTTATTTCATTCCAATTCCATCATTCTTACCCAAGCTTGCTGGTCCATTTAAAGTACACAAAGGGCCTTTAATTCCCTATTTGTTCTATGTTTTTGAGTGTGTTATTTTTAGAGCCTTTTGATAAACATGCCTATTGTCAAAGTTGTGGGAGTATTTATAGTCAGATGAGATGTGTACAAACATTTTCCTTTTCTCCTTTCTCCTCCTCTCTGAAGAGAAAAGCTGCATTAAAGCAAAGCAAAACAAAAAAATATATGTGTATATATAATATATATACATATATATATACATATATATATTTATATATATATATATATATATATATATATATATATATAACTGAGAATTCAGAATCATCTACCTCTAAAGAACTGCAGTGGTACAATACTGAGTACGTTAGTCTTTTTAATAGAAATAGACACACTTAAGGAAAAGAAGAAAAATTGTTGCTACAAGATTTAAATGTGCCCCAGGGACCCTCTATTAAGGCTCAGCATTGTTGCTCTGATCTGAAACGTGTAAAAGACAGTCAGAATCCTAGAGTAGGGCACATGATAGCTTTATAGCTAAACTGCTTTTATGAAAAAAACAAGCTTTAAAGGGCAAAATAACATAGTAATAGAAATTCATTGGCATGTGATGTTTTCTTCTCTTTTTATAACTGCTTTTACTGGGTCAGTTTTAATATAATTCTAAGTTGCTTGATCTAAGTCAGACGGAAAAGAATCCATCGCAGGGCTTATACATTTAAAAAAGGTAGTAAAGGAGTTAAAGCTTATTATTAAGGCTTGAAGAAATGGCTTCTAATTTCGATTCAGTTCATTTAAAAAATGTTTCTTGTTGAGTATTATTGGGGTTTTCAGAAGTTTAAAGTGCATTAATACATATTTTCTAGGTCTTAAGAGTTAGATTTTTCTTTCTGTGTCTTTCATTTTAAACTAGGTAATGTAGAAAGTAGGTTCAATATTCTGGGCTAGAATATTGCTTGTGTGTTTACTTGTTTACCGACTCATGGTGTAGAGAAAGCAGAAATAATGTTTGAACTTAGTGATATTTTTAGGTGATATGGTGGAAATGCAGTAATTTGCTTTGGGTTGCTCCTCGGTACCTTACTTTTGCTCCTCTACTAAAAACAGTGGAATATAAGTTCTCATTGACTAAATTTTCTAAGGCTTACATATCCTTAGAGTAAACGGAGAAATAAAAAAAGAGAGTATTAAATAACATTTTAGGCACCAAGTTAGAGCTGAAATAGAAAAATGTATTATTTTGGAAAAGTTTTATTATAAATGGTCAGATGTTGAAGGTGGGAAGTGAGGAAAAAAGGAAATTTTATTGCAAATTCCTAGGTATCCCAGAGAATTGGAGGTTCTCTTATTCAACTCGCTCATATATGGAAATTTGGATTCAAAACAAATAGACTGTTGACTTTCAAAAGAATTATGTTTTATAAGGTATAATTCCATGTACTAGAAATAGGAAACACAATTTGATTGAAGTTCAGCTTATTAATTTTTATTCGTTTAACACCAAGTAAAATTATTAATATTTGTACTAATTATAAGAAATGAAGATTAAATATCTATTAGTGTGAGAATGAAAATAATTATTTCCCACACTGCCCTTTAAGGGGAATAGATGCTGGTAACTGATAGGTCTTTTCTTTAGGGTGTGGGGCATGGTTATGAATATAGGTGTTCAAAATTGAGAACTGGAATAGAGGCATATTGCTCTGTGTAACTTGGAGAGGGAGATTTAGAAGCATGTGGGGAAGGTCCAGAAACTTAAAAAAAAAAAAAAGTAATGAGGCTGGACAAGATGTAGGGGAACAGGGAAGAAAGGAATTCTTGGTTGGTGGAGTTGCCCAGGAGAATTTATAGAGCACCCAATGTTTGATGGAGTTTTGATTAGTGTACTCCACCCCCTGTATAATCTTATGTAAATTCCAGGTCACTCATTAATGTTTTTGGTGTAAGCAGGTTATCTTGGGTGAATGCAAGGAGGTTCAGCATTCTGTTTACTGGTGAGCACTGGTCTGTGAGTTTACTTCCTAGGAATCTGGGTTACATTAGACTATAAGGTTTGATGGGGGAAAATTTGTAAGCCAGAAAAGAACTGATAGTGTTATATTTGGTCTGGCTTTGAGCTAAAATGGGTGGGTGAAACTTTAAGGATACTTGCATAGCCTCAAAATACCTACCAAAATATTTGTTAATTACTTTAGTGGTTTTAACATATTTCCACACATTCTTTGATATTTTCCCTCTGTGAGGTGGAGCTTAATTCTTTTTCCTTTGAGTATGGGATGGACTGACTGACTCTTTTCTAATGAACAGAGTATTTTTAATGCATTAATCAAAATAAAGTATGCAAACACTTGGGACATGTAAATATAACTTGCTTGTTTTTTTGATGTAAAGTGTTATAGGATTTAAAAAATATGAATTTTGAAATCCTGAGCAAGGGACAGAAATGGATTAATTCTAGTCAGTAAAATGGAAAAATTTCTTGACTGGAGAATTCTTTGAGTTTAAATTCTTAAGTCAAACTCTTTGAGGTGCAGCATGAGGTTGAGTCAAGTTTTAAAAGCTTACAGGTGACTCCTGTTTCTCTTACCTCTGTAAACAGAGGACGGAGGTAAAAACAATCTTGAACATGAAGAGATGTGCGAAATCTCACTGGAGGGATCTTAGCAAGATCTGGTTGAAGGTTGCACAGTCTTCCTAGTTAGATTATGAACTCAGTGTTGGAAGGGAATGGTGCTTATGTTTGGGATAATCCCTTCTTATTTGAATTGGTTTATGGCCGCAAGGGACCTTACCTGACTTGGGTGAGCCTTCGGAGTGACTCCTGCCTAGGCGTCTGAATCCAGAAGCGGGGGCTTACATTTATAGTTTCATGAAATTAATTAAGTGCCTTATGAAGTTTTCCTCATAACGTCCCCTCTGTGGTAAAGCCTGGACTGGTTTTTGATCCAATGAAAAGAATATTGAAAAGATAGCCAATTAAATTTAACTTATTAACATAAATGGGGCTAGGTTGGAATCATGTTGAAGAATAAAATAGTTCACAATTTTATAAAGTGATTAAAAATATAGTAACAATTTATATCTTTTTTTCTTCATATTTCTCTCTGTCTTTCACACACGCTCACTTTGGGTGGGGAAAGAGTGAGGAACCTTAGAAAGAATAAAGATGTCAGCAGTAATTTTCAAGTTTCTAGGATAATTTTGTTCAGAGAAGTTTATAAACACATCCAACAAGCCAAAATTGAATAGATTATGCGTATAGAATTAAATATTATAAATTCCACTTACCCCTAAATAAAGACCAAATAGTAAACATCAAAATCACTTGGTACCCACTTGAAAATATTATGATTTTAATACTTTATCAATGTTAACAATTCATAATAGTTGTCTCATTGCACATTTTAATGCTCTACAAATATCAAATTATTTAGTCTTCATATCCACCCTATCAGTTTCATATGATTGTTTCAACATGGAGAGGCAGTGTCACTCAGTAGTTAAGGGGAAGACAGCCTGAGTCTCCGTCCTGTCTGTGTCGCTGAGGAGGTGAATGACCTAGTTAGAACAGGCAAGTCACTCAACTATTTGTATCCCAATTTCCCCATTAATCAAATGCTCTTAATAATAACTCATGGGATTACCATAAAGATTAAATCTATATAGTCAACATATGTCATGTATTTAGTTCATATACGGAAGAAACAGCAGAAGACCTGGACGTGGTAAACACTATAGAAGTGTTATTATTATTATTGTTATATTATTATTATACTTAAACCAAAATTATTTTTCATTCTAATGATGTCTCTCCCCTCAATTTCTTTTTATTAGTGAGAGTAGGAGCCCTGGCCGAGGGAGCTGTAATCTCTTGGATCGGGGACTGTGGCTTTTTGATGTAAACATGTATTAGTAGCCCTTAGCACAGCCTCTGGCACTTTGTAAATGTACTTAGGAATTATTTGTTCAACATTTAAGTTAATGAAACTGAATATGATTGATTATACTTATATCAGAACAGTTTTTAGTATGTTTTGCTGTTTGCCTAAAAATCTTTTTTCTGTTGCGCACCATAGATCCTCTTGGAAAAGACTTCTGACAGTTTGGCGCTTCTTAATTTGGATGGCCTCTGCACATATGCCATCGAAGTCTAAATGCTAAAATTGTCAGAAAATTTTTTGAACACATGGAATGCCTTTTAGATGTCATGAAAGATTGTTCCAAGCATAAATTTTTCCTTAAGTTTAATTTTAACATAGAAACAAACCCAAATAAACACTTTTGTGGTTAACTTTTGAAATTTGTATTTAAAAAAAAAAGTTTTTTCCATCTTATTAATGAGAGAGAAATGTAGAAAAGAATGCTTTTTTCCCCCCTCTATGTGAAATATGGTTTGAAGAGCCAGTTACATATTGTGTTAAAATGTATATGTAATAATGATGCAACAAGTATGTTTCTACCATGATGAGATTTTTTTTGCACACTTTGGAAAACTAGTGACCTTGTTTTTAGTACTATGTCTAAATAGTTGAGCAGATAATATAACTTTTAAATATTATTATTTCAGTAGGCAGCAAGCTTTGCTTGTTTCCAAGAAAACTGTTAGCTGTCTATACGCTCCACGTGTGTAACAAAATACTCAAAGATGGGAAAAGTGGAAAAGTGGATATTGATTAGGAAGACCAGAAAGTTGCTTATATTTGACCCCCACTGAAATGTTCTTAGGACTTCAGTGAATGAGCAGGTTGTAATTACTTCATATATTTTGGACAACTCCTGTTCATCTTCCTATGTCTTTTCTTAGTAAATCCTAGTAGTGTCTTCAAGTTTTATATGTATTTTGGAGTAATACAAGATTTTCCCACTTCTTTTATTCTAGGCATTGAAGAAACAAGAAGCTAAAACAGATGAGAATGAGGGAGTAATGAAAAATAAGCTAAGACAAACTGAAACTGAGAAGAGTCAAGTAAGATTTTGAAAGTTATCTTCCAAAGAGTAATGCTGTTTGGGGCCAGTGGTATTTGTTGAGTGCCTTGAAAAGTATGTCAGACCGTTTGCTAGAACACAGTGAAGCCTTTATGTGTTGATGGGGAGTCTTTTTTTTTTTTAATTAAAGTTTTTTGGGGTGACAATGTTAGTAAAGTTACATAGGTTTCAGGTGTACAATTCTGTAATGCATCATCTATACATCACGTTGTGTGTTCACCACCCAGAGTCAGTTCTCTTTCCATCACTTGGTTTGAAGGCTCTGCCACTCTCTGCTACTTGCTTCTAGAAACACATACGGGACATTTGCAACCTTGTTCTGTGTCCGCGCTCCTCTTCTACAGGTGACTTAAACTTTACAGTTTCTTGCTGGGGAACATTTAAAGAGCTTGACTTTGCTGCAGGGTTAGGGAAAGCCTGTTGTTTAATGGCTGGGTGTTTTTGATATATTCGTTTTCATTATAGAAGACAGTCATAGTTAATGGCCTAGAGGAAAAAATCCTATGGTCTCATTAAATATTAAGGACTTTTCACATATATTCATATCTTTTAACCAATGGAGCCTGGCACGTTAGAGTTAGAAAGGAATTCAGAGCCCCCAAACTCTCCTCATTTTGCAAATGAGTAGATTTAAGGATGAGCACAAGGTAATGAATGCTAAAGTGAAAATTTGCCCCGATGTAATGTTCTTCATTATTGCTTTTTCCATCTAAAATTAGCTCCTTTATTTTATTTCTTCAGCCAATGTCAAATGAAATGATATGTTCATGCTGCCTTTAGTGTAAGCTAGGTATGTCAGGTCGTCAGGTTTGCCCTTTTGGAGTTAAGGCAGCTGCTGTTACCCAGGGATCATGGCCGATGTGGGCCATTGTAGATTTTCAGACTGTTTTGACGGAGGTGTGATTCCTTTCCCTCATTACTTCTCCACAGAAACAAGAGAACAAATCAGAAAATATTTTGTGTCGATTCTGTGATTTCATATATACTTTACTTTTCTAAAAATAAGACATTTTATGAGCCACATGTATCATTTTAAAAAAGTTATATGAATGGATTAAAATTTATTTTGAAATATTGGGTGTTTGGGAAAGTTATGACGTATATTTTTATGGTTTTCAATGCAAAAATGCGCCATGACTTTCCCGACGACCCAATAATTGTAGACTCACAGGGTGTTGCAAACCAAATAGTACAGAGAGATCACGTGTACCCTGTACTCAGGTTCCCTCGATGGTAACATTGTGCATAACTGTCATTCAGTATCGAAATCAGGAAATTGACATCGGTATAATCCAGAGTTTATGCAGATCTCACTGGCTTTATGTGTCCTCATTTGTGTGTCGAGTGTGTAGTTCTGTACAGTTTTATCTCATGTATAGATTCATGTTACTACCATTGCAGTTGGGATACCGAGCTTTTCGGTTACCAGTGCTCCCCGATGCTACTCCTTGGTAGTCATACCGACCCCATGTGCAGTTTTTAAAGGGTGGACATATACATAGTGGGAAGATGGGAAAAGCAAATGTTTGGTACAGAGATGTTTGCCCTGCTGTGTAGTTAAGTCTTCCAGATACAGAAAGCTCTCTTTCTGATACAGCCCTTCTAAGTTTTTTCACATAGTTATGGGGAAAATAAAAATCTTTTCCTGAGCTGGCTGGGTCTTGATTGCCTTCAGCTCAAAATAATCCTTATGCCAAAATCCACTCCCTTTCACGTCCTCTCATATTTTTCAACTTGAAGTAACCTGGTCACACAGTCAGGCTTTGGAGGGTATTTAGTCACCTAACTGGCATATTTTTCATGGATATTTATCTAATAGCAGTATTACTCAGGAAATTTTAAATGTGTTATTCTGAACTTAGAAATTTAAAAATTTTAGGAATGTTATGGATATTGGAAATAGTAGGAATGTAAGAATATGCAGAATATACAAAATCAGCAGTTGGATGAAATGTACTTTGAGTCATTTAGTCTCAGAAGTCTTCATTTCTAATTCATTTCATATGATATTACATGTACTCATTTTTTTTTAAGTTAAAGTTTATTGGGGTGACAATGGTTAGTAAAGTTACATAGGTTTCAGGTGTATAGCTCTGTAATCTATATATCACATTGTGTGTTCACCACCCAGAGTCAGTTTTCCTTCAGGGGGGTGGTAAATGTACTAATTTAAAGAAAAAAAATTGCTTTAGAATTTAGATTAAAATGGTTTAGAACTGGAGGGAATCTCAGAGGTTGTCTGATATAAAATCCTTATTTTAGAGATGACAGAAAAGAATCCTAAGGAAAAGCGATTTAAACAGGTTCATAAATGAGATGGAACCGACTAGGACCCAGACCTCTTGAGGTCTTGCCTGGTTCACTTTTTATTACACAATTAACATTGTTTTCATGGAAGCATTAATGTGTGTTTATAGCAAGATATTTATCCTTTCACATTAGCTTCTGAAAACTTTTCCACTCTTTGGTTACTGTCTATTCCATTGAACATTTTTCTTTATTCTTTGTTGAAACTCTAGCTTGAACAGGAATTGGAGCTATCGCGAAGGTTACTGAATCAGTCAGAAGGCAGCAGAGAAACGCTTTTGCATCAGGTAAGTCTATGCAAACTATGATAATTTGCTTTTAAATTAAGTGAGGATTGAGTCTCCTCTATTAAATGTCTTTGTGAAAGGAAAAACCTAGGTCTAGAATTTTTTTTTCCCCCCTAAGGAATGTATATCAGCACACATAAGCAAAAGATGAAATCCTTTCAGGAAAATTCAGAGAAAGCTAGTACAAAACACTTACCCCAGTTCCCACTGTGACAATGTATCTTGCTGACTGCTGCTCCAACTTGGGACTTATCTCTTAGCATAACCAGTGTAAAAATGAGACTGGATGTGTAAGATAAGATTTTCCCAGGAGCTAATTTTTATTTAAAGAGGCATTGGAGAGCGAAGGCGGAAGTAGAATACATAGAGCAGACCTTTGCGTGTTCAAGTTACTTTGTTTTGAATGCATCATTGTCTTATATTCACATTTTCAAGATGCTGCCTGCCCCTTGTTAGCGAAGGCTGAGACGTAATTTTAGAGCATAACGTTTTGCAGCCTGTTAGTCCACAGTGGGAATTTGGTGCCTCTGATATTTAAAGTTTGATAACTTGACATAGTTATCTTACATGAGTTGGATAAGGAAGGGCTTGTGGTTTTCTAACTGCTTCTCTGCCTCTGTTTAACATAAAATACAATTGTACCTTCCTCTGTGTTGAGGTGTGGGTTATATAATTCTCTACATAATGTGCTTGGTAGGCAAAGATGTCAGACATCATAGATGTTTAGAAGGAGTATTACATTTTGACAATTAGTGCTGAAAATACACCATGGCACCTGTTTTGCAAAACCTTTAAAAATGTTCGTTGGCTTTGTTCTGCAGCCAGTGGTCCATTGGAATTAATGTTGGCAGAGTTCAGACTTTTCTTTTTTGAAAGTTTATGTTTGTGTTCAATTCCATTCTGATTATTTTGGAACTCTGACGTGTACTTTATGATCTTTTTTTTTTAATTTTAATGTTTTATTAGCATTTATTTGATGCTGAATTTACTCCCAGGTCATAAGTTTTTGTTTCTTCAGTTTGTTCTGGGGGATCTTTTTCTTCTGTGCAACCTCTTCTTCTGGTTTAGGAATGCTCTGTTCTTTCTCAGTGAGGATCATCTTTTGTAAGGCAGGGAGAGCTCACTTATGGGTTAACTCACCTGTGACCTCTGTAAGTTCCACGCTGCATCTTGGGTGCTTTGTTCTCTTGGCTGTGCTCAGTGACCAGATAGTCTGTGTCTCAGCCCTTAAGTTCAGCATTGCTCTCTGCATTTGTAAGCATGTGCAGCAAAAATTATGCACTCTTTTTGGGCCACTGACCCTGCATCCAGCCCCACTGTTTGGCCTGGGCACACCTCTCAACTCTACCATTGCAATGACAGAATGGCACACACTGCTTCTATAACGTGAAGTCCTTTAGATACTTGGTGGCTTTTCAGATCTGCACACCCTTGATGCCTGGGCAGTTTTGTGAGTGTTCTTAAAGTGAACACGAAGATTTGAACCTCTTGATTTCCATGATTTTGTGGGATTCTCTGGGTCAAGTGAATGGCGAACCATTTTCAGAGGTCACCGCTTACGGGAAGAGCTATAATCTCATCTTTTGAAGTAAGAGATTTTTGTGCTCAGGTTGTCATGTGATTTTAGCTGAATCTTTTTGCCACTGCTAACTTGTTTAATGGTCACTGGGGACATACTTGGTATGTCTAGGCAATTTGCTACTCTTTGGAAATCCAAAGATGAATAAACATCCCCTGACCTTAAGGAGCTTATAGTTTCTTCAACAGCATTTATTGCTTGTTTATTTGAGCAGTACTTTGATGTCAAACTATGCTAAATCATGATCATTTTTCATGAGTTTACAAACCCATGGACATGTTCACATGAAAGAAAATAAGTGAAAAATATGAAAACATATAGTACTTAATTGGAAGTGGTTTGGGTTAATAGTAGTAAAGTGGACTGAGGTCAGAATAAGGAATTAAAAAAAAAACGTGGTCAAATTCTTTGTCACAATAAACCCGAGAACGGGAAAAGACATTCATATTTTGTGGAAGGAATAGACGGAATAAAGAAATGGAGCAAGAGACTGTTCCACTACGCTTGGCATAACAGCATTAGCTTGGCTTCAGTTTCTGCTTACTGTAATAGTCCAGGAGAAGTCAACTTTTTTTCCTAGGAAAATTGCAATAATTTGCGAGTTCAGTTATTCTTTTCCTGCTTTTAATTTTTGACTATCTGTATTTAGGTAGAAGAACTCCGCATGCAACTTATGAAAGCAGAAGGTGATCGAAAGGGTTTACAGCACCAACCATCTCAGATTTCCAAGCAGCAGTCAAACCACCAGGATGAACAAGGAGATGACTGGAGGTTTAGAAGAGGTATAATTCTGATCTGTAAACGTGTAGGGCTTTTTTTTTTTTGGATCTTCCTTAAATACTTCCCATTTTCAGAACTGCATTTCTTATGTTGTGCTCTTGTCATCTTATTCTTTCTTTTTTAAATATATTTTTAATTAAAATTATTGGGGTGGCATTGGTTAATAAAATTATACAGATTTCAAGCGTACATTTCTATAATACATCATCTATGTATTGCATTGTGTGTTTACCACCCAGAGTGAGTTCTCCTTCCATCACCATATATTTGACCCCCTTTTCCCTTTTACCACCTCCCCTACCCTTTACCCTCTGGTAACCGCTAAAATGTTGTCTTGATCTACTACAACATTTTCAAACAAGTTAATAGTAATTTAGCATCCACTTTTTTGAAACAGACTTTATTTTTTAGTTTTATGTTTATAGCAATATTGGGCAGAATGTACAGAGATTTCTCATGTACCCCCTGCTCCCACACATGCATAGCCTCCCCCATTTCAGCATTCTCCACCAGAGTGCTACATTTGTAACTGATGAACCTCCATTCATATACCATTATCGTCCAAAGTCCATAGTTTACGTTAGGATTCACTTTTGGTGGTGTGCATTCTATGGAATTGGACACATGTATAATGACCTCTCTCTGCCATCATATTATCATAGAGTAGTTTCACTGCCCTAAAAACCCTCTGTGCTCTACCTATTCATCTCTCTCTCCCACTTAACTCCTGACAGCCACTGATCTTTTTACTGTCTCCATAGTTTTGCACTGATCTTTTTACTGTCTCCATAGTTTTGCTTTTTCCAGAATCTCATATAGTTGGAATCATATGGTATGCAACTTTTTCAGATTGTTTTCTTTTACTTAGTAATATGCCTTTTAGTTTTCTTCATGTATTTTCAAGACTTGGTGCCTGCCTCTCTCTCTCTCTCTCTCTCTCTCTCTCTCTCTCCCCCTCCCTCCCTCCCTCCCTCCCTCCATTGTCTGATGTACCACAGTTTATTTAGCCATTCACCTAATGAAGGCCATCTTGGTTGCTTCCAAGTTTGGGCAGTTATGAGTGAAGCTGCTATAAAGTAAACATCTGTGTGCAGGTTTTTGTGTGGACATAAGTTTTACCCTTTGGGTAAATACCAAAGCGTGTGATTGCTGGATGTATGACAGTATGTTTGGCTTTATAAGCTTCTTCCAAACTGTCTTCCCGAATGGCTGTATCATTTTGCATTCCCCCCAGCAGCGAATGAGAGTTCCACATCTTTTTGTTCCACACCCGTGTCAGCGTTTGCCCTTGTGGGAGTTCTGGTTTGGAATGGTAGCCATTGTTTTGATTTGCATTTCCCTGATGACGTATGATGTGGAGCATCTTTTATTATGCTCATTTGCTATCTGTATGTCTTCTTTGGTGAGATATTTGGTAGTCTTTGGCCCATTTTTTAGTTGGGTTGTTTGTTTTCTTATTGTTGAATTTTGAGAGTCCTTCGTATATTTTGGTTAACAGTCCTTTATCATGTATGTCTTTGCAAATAATTTCTCACAATTTGTGGCTTGTCTTTTCATTCTCTTGACAATGTTTTTACAGAGCTGAAAAGTTTTAATTTTAATGAAATCCAGCTTATCAATAATTTCTTTCATGGCTTGTGACTTTGGTATTGTATCTAAAAAGTCATCGCCAACCCAAGGGTATAAGCCTTTGAAGACTAGAAAAATCTCATTTTTTCTTAAGTATTTATCAAGTTTAAAAAAAATCTAAAACTTCTCTTATTAATGTGATCAATGGACTTCTCCATCTTCTTTTAACAATTCTAGAGTTTTCATCTTTATAGAATACTTGCATTATTTATAAAAAAATTTGTACATAAGAAATCACACTCGTTGTCACTCTGGCTGCTACTTGCTCTTCTACCCACTATGGAAGGACTTCCACCTCTCTTGTAAAATTCACTTTGCTTAGTTTACTAGCATTTTCTCCTCAGTCAAATTCAAAGGAATCTTGCCATTACTTATCTTACTTGACCCCTGTTTAGTTCCTCTTCCTCTTTGGAGCTCTTCCACTGACTTTAGTGCTCCTGCTCTTTCTTGGTTCTTCTGCCTTACTTGTTTTCATTCTTTCCATTGGAATCTTTTCCCTGTTCAGCGTTTGTCTTTTAAATGCGTCTGTTGTCTAGAAACCTGTTTATGGCTTTTCTCACTTAGTACCTCTCCATAGGGGCTGTTACTTAATGTGATTTAGCTACCACTTATAAATAATAATCCCTAAACTAGCTCCATTCTCCTGACCTTCAGCCCTAAGGATGGAGTTACTCATTGGATGTCTCCTTGTGCTAGTCCACAGCATGCTCAGTCAACAGATTTAAATCTGAATTCATCCTTTCCTCAAAACCTGTTTCTAGGGCTGGTCAAGTGGTACGTTGGTTAAGAGTTGGCTTGGGACACCAGCTCTGAGCAGCAGGGCCCTGGTTCAGATCCCACATGAGGGCCAGTGACACTGCCCTCTACAGCTAAGATGGTGAACAACAGCTCGACCTGGCGCTGGGCTGCCGTGATTCGCCGTCAGTGGCATAGGCTGCAGCCCCTGCTGCAATGGGCTGCCGTGAGCTACTGTGGGCGGCCGTCCAATGGCCAGCGAGCGACTGCCTCACCCCAGAAGAGCACAATGATCACAATACCAACATGGGCCAGTGAAGCATGTCCTCCACATCTAGACTGAAGAGCAAAAAGGACAGCAACTTGTCTGTTCCCCTCCCCCCAATTCCCCAATAGAAAAAAATCTAAAAACAAAACAACAAAAAACCAAACCTGTTTTTATTCCCTATCTCAATTGATGGCATCATTCTTTATCCAGACAGATATCCAAGCCTAAAACACAAAGAACATCTGAAATTATTCCTTCTCCCCACCATCTAATTCGTCCTGATACCATGTCTATTTATAGATCTAGATCTCTCTTGAATTTGCCCCATCCTCTTTTTTATTCCATTACCCCAGTTTAGGCATCCTTCATCTCACCTGCATCTGTATTACCCTCTTGTCTTTTTCTAGTTCCTCTATAAACTGTCTTCTATACTGCTACTACAGGGGCCCTTCTAAGGCACAAACCGTTCATGTGACTCTCTTGATTAAAACCTCTCATTATAATTTATTGAGTTCTTATTACATACAATGCCTTATGCTACTCACTTCACATCGTCTTCTTTAGTTTTTACAACTGCTCTATGAGAAAAGTACTGTTCTTATTTCTGTTTTAATGATTTTTTTTAAAAAAGACTGAGGAACAAATAGATCAAATACCTTGCCTAAGGTCACATTTATGGGAAGTAACAGACCCAAACCTTTTTCTCCCCAAACCTGAGCCTTTAACTGCTGCCCTTTGCAAACTCACTACTGTTTGTAGCAGAGTTCTTCCAAATGGAGCATATGAGACAATCCTCTGGATGTGGGAAGAGAGTGTGTGTAACATTATTTATATTTCATACCTTGTGTTTTAAGTATTTTAATTTTGCGAAATGTTTCATATATATGTATATACGCAGATACCGGGGGTGCCAACAAAATGTATACACATGACTTGTATTCATCTTTTGTTATCAGTATATATTGAATATTACAGTTTAATACTTTTTTTCCTTTCTTAAAATGTGTATACAGTTTTTTGACACCCTGTACATATCTACCTATCTATCTATCTCCTTGCTGATATTTTATATGTATCTATATTATGAAACATAGCCAAATATCATGTCTCCATACCTAAAATACATACATTTCATACATATACATGTATGTATATGTATTCATACCTGTATTCATATCTCCATATTTTATATAATACACATACTAACATTTTATATATATACACTAATGTTATATCTATTATGAAACATCTATGTTATATATATGCACACATGTATACATACATATTTAAAAAATGAATAAATACGTACATTTATAAAACGAATAAAGATATTAACTTTTAAACAAATATGCATATTTTTAGGTTGAAGACCTATCAAGGGTAAACAAGGCACAGCCCATGGGCCAGATCTATACTTTTATAAATAAACTTCATTGGAATACATTTACGCGCTGTCTAGGCTGCTTTTGCAATACAATGGCAGAGTTGAATAGTTGTGACAGAGGTCATATGGCTAAAATATTTACTGCCTGACCCTTTGCAGAAAATGCTTGCTAATTCCTGATCCGCAGGGTCTTTTCTAAGTTCCCTAGCAGTGTGTGAACTCGCTGCTGACTGCACCTTTCTGTCCCTCATATGTGTCAGCTATGTCAACTACCGTGTGTGCAGTTACCTGAATAGTCAATATAATTTTGTACCTCAGTGCTTCCTGCTGTTCCCTTTCCCTGAAATCATCAGCCCAACTTCATCTCCTTGGCCTGGTGAAATTTTGTATCCATTCTTTAAATCTAACTTAGTTCCCAATTCTTCCTACCTCAGTTTCTCACCAAGATAATCATTACATCTTTTGTACTTTTTCTGTGTAATAAGCATTATATGATGCAGAAATATCTTTATAGTATCTGTTGGTGTTCTTATGCTATTAAAATGCCTCTGTATCTTCCACCCAAGCTGTACTATTTTAAACACTTTGATATTTTTAAAGTTGGGGTGTGTCTTATGAATGAGCTATAAACTTGATTTGGTAGTGTTTCCTTCCATCTTTTCCTTTTCTGGAATGGAAACTACTGAAAAACCAATAGTTTTAAGTTGATAAATATGTTGCAATTTTTGACATCTTAGACTCAAGTACGTACTTCATGCCTTGTTTCTATTCTTGGAGTGCAAGCTCATTGACAAGATTTTTGTGTTATTTATCTTGGGAGAAGGTGATATTACAGTGTGCTGTGCATCATAGAGCAAGTGTTTCATATTGAATTAAATACTAAGTCAATTTATATTCAGTGATATCATTTCAGGTATTACTTTCCAGAATTAGTAAGTTACTGGTCATAACAGAGATTTAAGAGCATCATTTGTTTATGTTGCAAGAAAAGCATTTTGTTGTGTGAACTTCAGTAACTTCAGTTGAGAGTGACGTAGTTGAAAATTCTTAAGTATTTTTGTTAGAGTTTGAAGGTAATGTAAGGATGTAAGGAAAGTTAAAGAAAAAATGTATAGGATTTTCCTGAAAGAAATTGTACCAGAAATCAAATAACATTTTAAGTTTTAGTATCAAAGTGGAATAGTATTGGAAAACTTGTCAACGTACATATTTTAGAAAACTGCATGAGCCTTGAAACAACAGACTGGCAAATTCTGAAGTCTGTCACGTGACAGTGTTAATAAGCAGATTGTGTTAGTGGGCACATTAAGACATCAAGGCTCTGGACCGTTCGAAAGTACATTCTTCTGTGAATAAAGCACACTCATCAAGCATTACCTTTTCTCTTTTAAGGGGTTGAGCGGGGAAAAGAGGACCTGGAGAAGCAGATGTCAGACTTGAGAGTACAGCTGGACTTCAGCGCCATGGTGTCTGAGTTGGAGGAGGCGAGGCGGTGCGTGGAGCGAAAAGATAATGAGAAAGCGCAACTGGAAGCACAAGTGGAGGTGACTGTGCTATTTTTAAGCCATATTCAAAGGACTTTGGTTTTGTTTCATAGAATTGCTTAATGAAATTTTAATATAAAGATTGTGACATTTTATGAACCTTGGTTTGGATATAGGTAATGTAAACTTATGTAGATGACTGATTATATATAGACATTTCTGTGGATTCATTTCTCTTTCATTTGGACCTCAAAGTCAGGAACCTACTAAACTTGTTCTAGTAGCAGTTGTTCTAGTAGCAGTTGAACCATTCCTAGAGACAGAAGGGACCTTTCTTCTCTGAAGGAACAGTGAATTACCATTTATTTCGGGGATTAAACTGGTGGAATTTGCAGCAAAAAGGTATTACTGATACTTCTTCTCTGGAGCCATAAAGGTTTTCAGGTGTCTAGCTGTTCTGCATGAGGTAGAGCTGTGATGCCTGCATTAATTTAGTGTTGTATTAATCATGAGTGACATGCTAACCATGAATGAGGTGTCACGAGGCAGCCACCATTTCCTGCTCACCTTTTATCTAGCACAGATGGGGGTAATTATCAGAAAATATTAAAACTCAAAGGAAAGAACTTCATAAAAAGGGAATGGCTTTGTTTCAGTAATTATGCAAATTAGATAAAAAATGGCTGACACATTTGGAAATAGATATGTATCAATCCTTCCATGTATCTGTTTTTATTAGTAAAGTTGTGTTCTCGCTGTAATAAGTTGCCACATTTGAAGACGTTCCTGAGCTATAATGAAAGGTAGAAAATTGGTATTAAAAGTACTCAACCTTACGTAATCCAAAGGAAATACTTAATGTTACTCCAGTCTGAGTTTTTCTTTCATCTTGTCAGTGTGTCAGTAGAAAATGTATTTTAGATTTGGTTCAAGATTCAGATTGTATAGATAATGAAATATTGACGTAATATTTACAAAGCCCTCGCTACAATTTTAATAATTACTTATTAGAAATATTCTCAGAGCAATTGTAATTGCAGGACTTTTAAAATCTACTTCGTGGGTATTATTTTAGCCCCAGTTCCTACTGACAAAAGTGCTAAAATGTGATTATGTTTCAAAAATTAAGAATTTAAAAAAATATGCTAATAAATATCAAAAGTAGGAAAATCTCTTTGCTGAGCCCTTTAGAACCACATGGTGGTCTGTCCTTTCTCCCTCCTTTCCTTCCTTCATCCCTCCCCATTGTTTTTTTTTGTTGTTGTTGTTGTTTTGTTTTGTTTTTTACTCCTTTTACTACTTATGGAATAAATTGGAGAAAGATCTCAAATACATAGACATTTTAAAAAATTACTTATAATACCCTAATAATGCTCTCATTCAGAGTCTGGCTTTCCCCTTGTCCTAACTTAATAGTTTTTTCACCTTTTCACATGGGTTAGGAAAGAGTTGGAGTTCTCTTGGGTTAGTTTGGATTAGTTGTATAGGTTTGTATGTGAAAGACAATTGGAGAAAGAAGTTGAACATTTACTCACATATCAAAAACTTAATAGATGACTATTACATGCCAGGCACTATTCTAGGTGCTAGTGACATTAGCAGTGAACAAAAACCCAGAACATTTCCCCGTCCCTATGCAGAGACATTCTGAAATTGATGCAGAAAATTCTTTGAGTTTGTCTTAAGTTTAATTCAAATTCCTGTTGGATAATGAAATTTTTTTTCCACAGTTGCCACTGGAAAAGATAATCACAAAATAACACTGATCCTGGAAGAAATGACTGTTAAAGCATGTTTTTTTTTTTCTGATTTTCTTATTTTAAAAAATAATTAAATTTATATCAGTTTTTTTGGATTTAATGACACTTCTGGTTATGGCTTTTTTTTTCATACCTTGTGGAGGTCCATTGAATATCTTTATTACCAACTTATTCTCAAAGTGACATCTAGCACAGACTTTGTGAGAAATACAGACCATGGATCACTCAATTTAACCTCTAACAGTTGGGAATTTTATTTAAATTTAATTGAAAAACATTTATTCCCTGCTTTAATTTTAGAAAATATTGTATAGCATTGGGTGTTGCCTTATACATTCTATAAAAAATGGAGATTAAACTCTTTTAGTTGTTTTTTAGAGACCAAATATAAGTAAGAAAAGATGCACAAAATGAGATTATTGGTCAGGTCCAATAATTTGTATAGTGACATTTCTTATGGTTTGTTTGATCATTGTCTTTCTCTTTAACCATGACTTTCTAACACCTCCTACAGAACTGATAATCTTTCCTTCTGAACCATCCTTTAGCCCACATCACTAATGTCCTTATGGCACCTTTCTCACACTGTCTTGAAGTAATTGGGTATATTTCTTTAAGATTTCAAGGTGGGTTGAAATAAAGGAGAAAAACGGCTGCAGAAGAAAGCTACCCTGTCATTAAGACAAACCCAACCATTATGTCTTTACCTTAATGAAGACATCATGTTTCAAGGTCTTGTCCTCACATTTGAAAACTTGAGTTTTCTGTGTCCTAGAATTAATGTGATCTGGGAGTTTGGTTCCTGTTAACAATGAAACTCATGGGCCGGCCGAGTGGCGCGTTGGTTAAGAGCTGGCTTGGGACGCCAGAGAGCCCCAGTTCGGATCCCACCTATGAGGGCCAGTGACACTGCCCTCTACAGCTAAGATGCTGAACAACAGCTCAACCTGGAGCTGGGCTGCTGTGAGTCACCATCGACGGCATAGGCTGCAGCCCCTGCTGCAGTGGGTTGCCATGGGCTACCGTGTGTAGCCAGCAGCCAACGTGAGCGGCCAGCAGCCGCCGTGAGCAGCTATCTAGAAGCCGGCGACTGATCTGCCTCTCCCAGGAAGAGCACAATGATGGTGCCAACTTGGACCAGTGAAGCAATGTCCTCCACAACTAGACTGAAGAACAAAATGACAGCAGCTTGTCTGTTCCCCTTCCCCCAATTCCCCAATTCTGTTCCCATCCCCCAATTCCCCAATAAAAATCTTTAAAAAAACCCCAAAAAACAATGAAACTCACAAGAGAGCAATATATGAGTGCCAGTTCATGCATGTATTCTGTGGGAGTCCTATACAGATATTTAAACACTGTTCTCCTATGCAGGGCACCATTCTTTGGATAGCTAAATTAGTAAGCAAAATAAATAAATAAATTAATTAAAAAAATTGCTTGATGAACAAAAAATCAGAGGGTAATGATGTGTAAAGGACTGTTTGTTCGTGTCTGTGGTAAGGCTCCCCAACCCTCCACCTCTCTTTAACAGAGTTCTTTTAACCAGAAATCAAATTTACTTCACCGGATTCTGTCTTTATTCCTGGAGTGTATTGAACTGACTTTTTTTTTTTTTTGTCTTTTTAACAATCTTTTCCTCTGCTTTCACTCTGATGCTCAATCTTCTGTTTACATTTTCTTTTGAAATGTTGCTGTACACAGTTTTGCTCTGGGCCATTTATCAATTGTGTTGACGTCAAATTCAAACTTGTGGCATTCTGGGAGCCACTTAAGAAATACAGACTTAGGTCCCTTTTTAGAGCATAGATGAGTATGGGGTTAAGAACCAGGCCTGATCTCTGTATGCCTTTGTGCCCTCCAACAATGTCTTACCCATGTGAGGAGCTGAATTAATATTTCTTGACTGAAATAATATATTGTAGCACATTTTTTTGGTTATTTTTTAAAGCTAACGTTGTACATTCCTCAAAAGCACATTAATTTCTGGAAGAGTTGCCAGTATTCAAGGGGACCTTTGCTCCTTCTCACTAATTGCATTAGTTTTCGTTGATCGAGAATATATATTTTAAGCAGTTATTTTACACTGGGGGAAAAACAGTGAAAATAGCTTGTAAAACTAAATGAAAGCTACATTTGAGTTTGCATAATTTACCTTTCAAATTGTACCTGAGACCTTAAATCTGTACATGCATAGAAAATACTAAGTGCATTTTTTTTCCTTCTTCTAAACTTGAATTGAACCTCATTAACCTTGATAGGCTATTTGTATTCATAAGAATTCCTAGCATCCTTGATCAATGATTCCCCCTGATTTAATCTCAGCCTCCATCTTCCATCAATTTACTCTACTTGAAAAAAAAATTTGACTTTTAAATTCAATGAAGAACTTTAAAGAAAAAGAAAAAACCAACAAGGTGCTCTACATAATTTAGATTAAATGTTGGATGTGATAATTGAGTGACAACTAACATGATTATTCATTAACAGAAACTTGGGACTGTAATGCCAGAATTTATTTTTAAAAAGAGGAAGGATAGTGGAAAACAGAAATGATAATGAATAATAACTTTTCTTTTTTATCATCAGTACAGTGGAAACTGAAGGAAGGTTATTCCTTTTACCATGCTTTTAGGATAAACTCTTTTGATTCTTGCATTTCTTACATAAAGCTTGCCACTTTACTATGCAATAATGCCCCTTCACTATTACTTTTAAACCCTTCTTAGAGACCTATGGTCTTAGACTTTTTTTTAAAAGATTTTTATTGGGGAATTGGGGGAGGGGAACAGCACTGGGGAATCAGGGAAGGGGAACAGACAAGTTGCTGTCCTTTTGTTCTTCTGTCTAGTTGTGGAGGACATCGCTTCACTGACCCATGTTGGTGTTATCATTGTGCTCTTCCCAGCTGAGGCATATCGGTCGCTGGCCTCTGGACGGCCGCTCACTGCAGCTTATGGTAGCTCACACAGGCTCACGGTAGCTCACACTGGCTGCCGGCCACACACGGTACCTTACGGCAGCCCACTGCAGCAGGGGCTGCAGCCTACGC